AGTGAGTGGACCTGAGTGAGAACTCCTAGAGTCCTCAGGACATAACAGTTAGGATGTATCATGGCCTCCATGGTTGACAACCAGGAAGCAACATTTTTCATTGCCCTTTTCTTAAGAGCCAAAAGAGATGGACTAGCTCAAAATCACCTACCTGACTTTGTGCTTAAGGTAAAGTTTTCACATTTCTTGTTACCTAATCCTTATGGTTGAAGATGCTGGATGTTTGTTCTTGGGGGGGAGTTCTTTGTATAATAAATATGGTTATAATCAGTTATGGTTCCACCTTCTCCAGTTTTATTTCAGTGGATTGGTGGTGTGGTGGTTATGTGATTTGCTTAATTTTCTTGCTAGAATCTAGATTACTAGACGAAGCCTTGAACTATAATATGGGCCTTGGGTTTCACAGACCAGGAAAAGCTATCATTCTACAGGCTTCATTGTAATCTTCAGAATGAATATCATTTTATCCTACCTCAGAAAAAATATAGCAAAGATAAATCTTACTGAGCAGCTGAATCACCTTAAAAATGATATTGGAAAAAACCTTCAGTATAAGTCACTTCCGTATGAGTCATTTTGTGACTTATAAGTCAGTTTCACAGGGGAACTTATATTTATTATAAGAAATCATCTTTCCATTCTGGTTATCTTTACTGGTTCATTTTTGCCCAGTTGTCTTCGGTTCAGAAAAATTATTTTGTTTTGTTGAGATGACTTAATAGCCTCAGGCCTGCCTTTATTCATACTTTATTTCAAACATTTCTCTCCTCTTTTTCAGTATAAAATAATCACCTATGCATGTACTGTACCTTCATGATTAGACTTTTCATTTTTTCTTGTTGGTGTGCACTTGACATTGTTTTTTCTTGTTAGTCTTTGCATGTTGCATGTTTTGTCAACTTAAGTGTTTTTTAAACATTTAAGTCAGTAATTAATTTGTGATTAAAAAGCAAACCTCTGACTACTTCATCATTACTAGAATTTGATAGGAATAGCAGAGTATTCAGCCCAAAGGTCAAAGGCATTTTAGATTCATAATAATCAGGTTTTTATACTTGACTGGTTGACATTTCTAATGTTCTTTCTCATTGATATATAAGAACTTGCTAGTTAGAAAACTGACTCATCTGGAGAAGGTGGAACCATAACTGATTATAACCATATTTATTATACAAAGAACTCCCCCCCAAGAACAAACATCCAGCATCTTCAACCATAAGGATTAGGTAACAAGAAATGTGAAAATCTCTCTGCCAAAAAAAGCAGGCAATCTAGTGCTAGTCTATTTAAAGTAGTTGGGCTATATGGAAAAGTCTGACTTGGTATAGGACTGTTTCCTGTTTCTCACACAGACACAGACACTTTATACACACACACACTATTTACAGTTTACAGTTTTCAGTAAATAATGTAAAACACAAAAATACAAAAGTAAATAGTAGGAAAATAGGCAACGGGAAGGGAGAAGTATAGAAAAGAAGGGGAGGGAAAAGCATTGACTTCCGACTCCCTTTGGTGCAGTAGAATAAGACAGCAACATCAAGCCTCAACTTTTTACTTTTACATAATAGTATAAACTAGCCATTTCTATAACAACAAATCTATGTAATTGGTAAAACCCAAAATCAAAGTTTCATTTTCTTCCACCTCAAGCACAAAGTCCAGAAATGGTTTCCAAGTAGAAACAAAAGTACTTACGTTTTTTTCTTTGATCAAAGTTTCCTGTGTTTCCAAACATTCATTTCCTAGTTGGTTGATGGAAAGTTGTGTCTTTGGTTATGTATAGTTGGCGTATTTATTATTAAAATAGCTCTGCAGCCAATTCTCCCCAATGAAACCCAATGGGGACTGAAGTTCTCTCTCTATCCACAGAACAGATACAGCATGGGAAGAGACCGTGCAATGTCTCAGTTTGCCTAAATCCTGACCTAGAGGGACAACCATTAAGAATAAGAGGTTAGTTCCGGATCTATTCAGCTGTGATTTTGCTGTGAAGATATAACAACTAAGGTTCCTAGTTAACACAAATCGAAATTGTGGTCTTGATATTTTTTGAACTGAACAATTTATTTACTTTACATGGTTTTTGTAGCTGAAACTGGAGGAATTGATAATTAAGTAAATCTCAGTATTCTGTTACAATGATTGCTAACAAAATATATTGCTTCTCTTAAAAAAAATAGGAAATTGAATTGCTTCCATTCTTGAAACAGAACTATTCTAACTTCTGTAAAGGGTTTTGAAGAGTTTTTATTTCATTATTCATCAGTCTAAGTGTACAGAATGTGTACTCTTTTGAAATGGTTGCCTTTCCATCCCAGTTATGCAGGCTGCAGTGTTCATGCATTAACTGTTTCTGCTTGAATGCAGTATCTAGTCACATAATGTCTTGGCAAATATTCAGAGCAATGTCACAAAGAAATAATTTCGGCAAGACAAGATATATACATCAATACGACTTTCAGAATGGATGGTTACTGTTATTAAAGCAGTCTGAACATCAAGAATCTATTGTGAAGCTCAGAAAGACCATTGACAGCTTCTTATGGAGAATATGTTTATGAACAAGAAATATTTTGTCTAAATCAGTCATTGATTGAAATTCTTATTTTGTCCATTTTAGCAACACACATGAATATATGATTTCAGATTATTATAATATAGTAGTAAACGGGGAAAATTAGCAATTTTGTTTGTATAATAGGGCATATAAAATTATGCCAGTATAATTACCATTGATTATGGGTTGTGTAGATATGTTCACATTCCTTACTTCTTCAAACATTAAATGTGCAAATTTTGGGATAACTTTTTAAAATCTCATTTAAAACAAGAAAAAGGAAAAGGAAAAAAAAAGATCTGATTTTCTCCATAGGATTATATTGGTCAGCTTGTTCTTGATTTCTTAAAGCATTCTGCCAGTATAATAATGACCTATTTGTAATTGCATTTTTTCCCTTATGCTTCTAAGCACTCTATGTACAAATGATGAATTTACTTTCATAGATCTCTGCCAAGCAATACTAAGATTAATTTCAACTCCTGAGATTTAATGAAAATCTTTTGCCATTTCTTGATGAACAAACTTTTTGGTCCTTGCTATTTCTTTAATGTGAAAAATGTTTCAGGTCAACATCATGTGGAAAACTGATTGTTCAATCGAAACAAGTTGCAAATGAAAACTGCTACATCTTCTTGATTGTTTGCTTTGTGATTTTTAGGATAGATAAATAAATAAATCTTTAAACAGTTGCCTTAAATTATAAGGCTTCTCCTCAGCAGAGCAATTATTTAAATTCTGAAAGTTCACTTTAAAAGCATTGTAGCTCTTTATATTTAATCAAATGAGACAAAAATAGATAATTTTGATTTATCATGATTTAATTTTGATTTATCTCCCTTTTTCTTGCATGTTCTCCTTCTTTCTACAGGTGCCACAAAATCAAGCTTGCTGTCAGCACCTAGCATTGTTAGTATGTTTGTTCCAGCACCAGAAGATTTTATTGATGATCAGCCTACCATGATGACAGACAAGTAAATATTTTCATATTTCTTCTAGTTTTTGCCATTTAAGACCAACGATAAGCTTAAAGGGCTGATTTATTAATGACCATGACAACAGCAGCAAAATAATAATAATAATATTTTGTCATTGAAGTGAAACCAGAATAATTATCTGGATATGTTGTTAATGCTTTACACTAAGAAAAATTAAAATGACAGTGCATAAAAACTTTTGGTTCTTCAAGATACAGAGATAGAATGTAGATAAGGAATTATTTGTATTTACACTATTGGATTTTCAGAATATTTATTTTTATCGGAGAAGTGGGCAAAAACAACAAATGGTATAAAAAACACTGCTAGAAATACAGTATAAAAATACTGTCCGGTATGAGTGTAAGGTGTTTTTCTGTTGTAGGGGTTTAAGCTCTCTTCCCTGCTGAAAGCCAAAAAAGAAGAGAGGAGTGGAAATGAAAATTGTATGATAGTCCTAAATTTTCAGCCATTTGGTTAAAGTAAACATATTATACCAAATGAAAGAAAAAGTTAAGCAATTGATAGGGAAGTTATAAATCTAAGATTCTTTCCAGTCATCTACATCTTTCGCTATTTTGATCAATGCATTTATAGAATGCTACCCACAAACATCACTTCCAAAACCTTTGTTTATAATATGTTCTCTACTATTTTTCATTTTAATATCAGTCTCAGCATGGTTTGCATTGAGATAAACACTAACAAAATGCTAAAATCCATGTAATTAATAACATAATCAACAATGAGGAATATATTGTAGCTCAAAATTAAATAGACAGGGAAATCAAAGAAGTGCTCAGAGAAACAAATTCATTTTTAAATGAAAGAAAAAACACTCCATACTCTGTGTGTGTGTGTGTCTGTGTCTGTTTGTGTATGTGTAGTTCCCTTCTGACACCTATGGTGAATATGTCTTCCTCAATTATGGGTCCTCCACTAGAAGATTGGGAATTTGAGGGTTATGCATGGTATCCTAACTATTCTTAGCACTGCACAGTTCTGGAGAGTTGCAGTGCAGAGGTGGTATTCAGCAGGTTCTCACCAGTTCTGGAGAACTAGTAGCAGAAATTTTGAGTAGTTCGGAGAACTGGCAAATGTCACCTCTGACTAGAGATTTTACAATATGCTTCCCCTGCCATGCCCACCAAGCCAAGCCCATAGAACCGGTAGTAAAAAAATTTGAATCCCAACACTGCTGCAGTGTTGTTCCTAGAGTTTGTTGGAGTCACTTCCCCAGCTTAGGAATCACAGCCCCGAGTGTTCCTATCACCACTGTGGCCATTTTGGCCTTTACGTTCCACAGCTGGATAGCACCTAGAAATCTGATGATAGATGGGGGGAGGGGGGTGATGATAAGTAGAGGCTGTTGAGTTATTTCATGCCTATCAGCTTCCTTGATTATTTTTAATAGAAAGATAAGACAGAATTTCTAAAATGAAAAAAAAATATTGATAGATTCAAACAAAAGACTTCATTATGTCATTTTATGCACCTCTAAATACAAGAAGAAAATATTTAATAATCAAGGTTACCTGACTGCATAATTTGTTGGTGGAACGGGGGTGCATCATTGATAAATGAGAAATATTCTGTAAGGTTAATTTATTTCAGGCAGTCGTTCTGGTTGTTTTCTAAAAGCTTTGGCAGCAGGTAGTAAACCAGGCTAAATGAGATTGATTTTCATGACCTTGTTGGCATTTTCTCCTGCTGTTGTGGAAAAGGAAAATTGTCTGTACAATCCTATTAAGTTCAAACATCACAATCTGTTGGAGACATTAGTGAGTGGTTGATCAAATTAACCAAACATCCCCATTGGGCCAAGAATGTACTGGTTTTCCAAGTCTTTTTATACAGTCGGTAATATTCTGCCTCATCTCATCTGCATTAGACAAGTCCCTTAAGATCAGACATTATAGAACCTTGGCAGAAATTTGAAAGTAGTCTCTTGGCAGTACACGAGTTACATTCCATTCAGTTGGAAGGAATCAAAAACAAACTTCTTATTGTTACAAAATTAACTTGTCTCCTTCCTTGCAACCCATCATTCCCTCACTTGGGGAATAATCGCTGCAGCAATGTAATGTGATTTTTATATAGTAATATTGCATTTTGTCCTCTAATTTTCTTACAGATGCCATGACTGCGGAGCCATCCTGGAGGAGTATGATGAAGAAACACTGGGTCTGGCTATAGTAGTTCTCTCCACATTCATTCATCTCAGCCCAGATTTGGCTGCTCCTTTGTTGCTGGATATTATGCAATCTGTAGGGAGGTATAAACTTTCAATTTTCTTCTCATGTCTTCCTTCCTTCTACAGATTAATGGTTTACAAATAAAAAGTGAATTCAGCATTGTTTCATATTTCTAATGCATCTACTATTTGAGCAACCCTAAATGAAATGGAATGGAATGAACCCTGAAAGCATGAAAGTTGCTTTAAAAGATAGTAGATCTATCTGAAGCTCCCTAATCCAGCTCCTTCCTTTGAGCCACCCAGCTGATTGATACCAAGGAGAAGGCTGAATTGATATTACACTGTCGTATCATCTAAGCTTTTTCCATATCTATCATTTTCTGTGTGAAGGAGAGCACAGAAAAACCATCATGATATTTGATAAGCACCTGTTTAAATGAGCTATCTGACTTAGCCAATTGCTGCTCAGACTTTCCTGGACAGGGAAAATTTGTTCCAGGATAACCAGGCAGTATATGTGCTTTAACCAAAGGGCAAATAAAAAACTGATACCTTTGAGAAAAGAGGAGCAGCAAAGGAAGGTGCCTCGTATTAGATCTCACAATTTAGATTCCTGTTGCCTACATTAGTATCCCTAAATTACCATTCTAGTGAATCTTCCAGCTTTAACTGAAAATACTGTTAACGTAAGTGGGATCTCTTGCGTACAAACTATAAACCCTTCTCTATTCTTATGATAAGGAGAAGTAGATTTATCAGAGAGTGCTCCAATACAGCCCTTTTACAAAACCATTGTGGCAGCTTTTTTCTAACAAAAGACTGTTGAGCTAAGTCATCTTAGCTCAATTTTTATTTGATTGCATAATCAATTCCAGCTGTTTTATTGAAAAAAATGACATGTTTATTTAATTCTCTCCCTTCCCATCCCCTGGCCTTTCCCCCCCTCATAGGTTGGCTTCAAGTACCAATTTCTCTAATCAAGCAGAAAGGTACAGTATATCATTAATTTATTTTTTGCAACAGGCCTACAGAACAAACAAAAGTATAAACATTTTTGTGAATATTTGATTTTGAATCAAAACAGAACAGTGATATTAGATGCATAATATAGCCCCTGTTTGAGAGAGATGGGTTGTTTAGAAATATGAAAAATAAATAAATAATTTTGGATCAAAGCACTGCACTATACAGTAAATCTAATCTTTCCATAAACTAGTACAGAAATAGGGAGCGATCTAGAAAAATATGGGGAACTCCTGAATATCTCTCATACATTTCATTAAGGAGCTACATAACACGATGTCTTTTGTTAGATAACATCTGGAGTCTCAGATCATGTAGGATAAATCCATAACTCAGTTCCACCCATGTCTACATTTAGCATGTGATAATTCTGCCATGAGAAGTAATCATGTTATGGATTTATTTCTGGTAGTTTGGAGTTTCTGATATTAACTGAGTGGCACAGAAAGGAGCCATTCCACAGTAATTGCACATCATAAGTGTAACGGGATATGATACTCGTAGAGAAAGGAAAAAGTCACATGGGTACCAATATTTATTGATTTGATTATTCACTGTTTGATGATATCTCTTACCACATAGAGTACAAATTCAATATAGTGCTGCATTTTGTAGTGATATAAAACATATGACAGAAAATTATAAGTATTAGATCACACCTGTGCTGTTCTGCTTATAGGATGACATCTTATATGACCTACCTATATGATATCCCACTTATGTGTTTAATCAACACAGAACTGGGATTGAGAGAGGAAGAACAAATATGCATGCCTGGCCTTTCAAATTCCTGGGCCAGAAAGCCTTTTCTATTTATTTAGGGAACCCACATGATTCAGAACCCCCCCCCAAAACCCCAAATCGATGTTTGTGTGACATCCAAGGCATTCTGGCACTGTATGAAAGGGTTATTTTACACTTCTATGTATAGATTAAAAATAATTTTGTTTGATGGAAACATCTTCACACCGGTGGATGTAATGGATACCATTTAGAACGAATAACAATAGTTTTATATTAGATCTTTCAAAGGATTGTTGCTTTATTTTTCCTAGTTCTTATTTCTTTCATGCTGTAAAGTACGAATAATCCGATTCTTAATGAATGCTCACCTGTGTTCTTGTTGGTTCCTTCACAATGAAATATTTTAGTAAGATCACAGTATTTTCTCCTTCTTTCTTTCTTTACTTTAATCTACCCAACACCCCAACAGTATGATGATTCCGGGAAATGCTGCAGGTGTGGCAAAGCAGTTTCTGCGTTGCATTTTCCATCAGCTTGCTCCCAATGGTATATTTCCACAGCTGTTTCAAAGCAACATCAAGGGTAATATTCTGTGCTTATAATTTATTTGTGAGACTGCATTATGTTCACATGAAATCCCACTAAAACAATTGTCATTTGCAGATGGAAGCTTTTTACGAACCTTGGCCACCTCTCTTATGGATTTCAGTGAGCTGAGTTCTATAGCTGCATTGAGCCAACTCTTAGAGGTCAGTCTATTCTAAAATAATATAAAGAGGTTCATATATTATTTTCCCATCAGATGTGTTGCACAAATGGTTCATTTTCTACCCTTATACAGTATTTTCCATTCTAAAGTTTGCTTGTACTGAAGCAAGCTGAAGCCATTTATTCAATTGTGTAACATAGGAGTGGGCATTCTGTTGCCCTAAGGCTGAATCTAGCCCTTAGTTTAATTTCCAAACCCTTTTGCAACAAGAACTATTCAGATTGCTGGCTAGAGAAATATGTTTCTTTATCAGCAGACATCTGGTCAGGGAGGAAGAAGAATGAGGAAGGAAAGCCAACAACCCCAGATTGCAATTATTGCAAAATTGCAATTACTTTGAGATATGGGGACTGGACTGAAAAAAAGTTGCCCATGTTGTGATGGAATAAACACATCCTTTTTTTCACTCTTGAAAGTAGTCATTCATGTCCATCTAATAATAGAACAAACTCTAAAGGTACATCCTATCACATATATGCAACTCTTACACTGCAAAAACATATGGACTACACAATTCGATCAGGGCAAAGCAATAGATGCAATCTACATAGACTTCTGTAAAGCCTTTGATTCAGTGGTACACGACAAACTACTCCTAAAACTAAAATCTTACTGTATTTCTGGACACCTGCATAACTGGATAGAAGCATTCCTCTCAAACAGACAACAAATGGTCAACATTGGGAGCGTCCTATCAAATTCTGTACCTGTCAACAGTGGTGTCCCCCAAGGCGGTGTTCTAGGACCAACTCTTTTCATACTCTACATAAATGATCTCTGTGATCATATTAAGAGCAACTGCATTCTCTTCGCTGATGATGTAAAGCTATTCAACACCACAGACAATACTGCTACCCTTCAAAAAGACCTTGACTATGTATCAGAATGGTCAAACAAATGGCAACTTCAAATCTCAACAAATAAATGCTCTGTCCTACATATTGGCAAAAAAAATCAGAAAATAAAATACAGGCTGAATAGTCAAGACCTTGTTGATGATCCAAACTCTGTCAAGGATCTTGGAGTACTCATCTCTAATGATCTAAGTGCTAGAGCCCACTGTAACTACATAGCCAAAAAGGCATTAAGAGTTGTTAACCTAATCTTACGTAGCTTTTTCTCTGGAAATATTACACTACTAACTAGCGCATACAAAACATTTGCTAGACCAATACTTGAATACAGCTCATCAGTCTGGAACCCACATTACGTATCTGATATTAACACAATTGAGAAAGTCCAGAAATATTTCACAAGAGTTCTCCACTCTTCTACTTGTTGCAGAATACCTTATGCCACCAGACTCGAAAACCTAGAACTACGCTGCCTTCAGTCCGATCTAAGTATAGTATATAAAATCATACATTGCAATGTCCTACCTGTCTATGAATACTTCAGCTTCAACCATAACAATACAAGAGCAAACAATAGATACAAACTCAAGGTTAATCGCACCAAACTTGATTGCAGGAAATCCGACTTCAGCAACAGAGTGGTCAATGTCTGGAATACTCTACCTGACTATGTGGTTTCTTCCCCAAACCCCAAAAACTTTAATCTTAGACTGTCTACTATTGACCTCACCCCTTTCCTAAGAGGTCTGTAGGGGGCATGCATAAGTGCACCAACGTGCCTACTGTCCCTGTCCTATTGTTTCTTTTATTTTTCTTATATGTATCCATGTATTCATAACTATGTTTTTACTTATACCTCTTGTAAGCAATTGACAAAAACAAACAAACAAACAAACATTGTTCCCTTTCACTTCGACAGATGATTGCAAAATGCCAAGGCTAGGAAGGGAAAGGAAGTGAAAGTAGTTCATTGTAGCATGTAGATCATACTGCAATCGTATACAGATTTTTTGAATAAAGCCCCTTGAAACCAACCGGGCTTCAGGTTCCTGAAATGAATCCCATTAAACCCCATCCAGAACTAAATATGAAAAGTCTCCAGATCTAAAGAGACCTATAACTCATAGTTTCTGTCTTGCTGCGTTGAATTGAAGCCTGTTCTCTCTCATCGAAACTCCATAGCCTTCAGCTGTGATATCGATTGCTTGGTTGAGCCCTGGTAGTGATGTATCTCTTCAGTATATTGATGATATTTAACATAAGTGTAGAGGCCCAAGGAAACCTGCAAAGCAAGGCTCCAGGCCAGATACCTCCCTCCCACCAACACCAAATGAAACTGGCTTTGGAGGAAGGAGGTGAACATTGTGCCTCCCCCACTCTTAAACCCCAAACCCAGTCCATCTTAAACCCCAAACCCAGTCCAGAAGGATACAGTGATCAATGTTATCAAAGGGCATTGAGTGAACATGAAAAATTTCTTTCTCTACACAGGCATGTTCAAATCTTTTTCTGCTCTTTTTCTTCTTAAGAGATTTAACGTACACTGTTACCCGTGAAGCAAAAAGACTGCCTATTGTAGCAGATTTCTGAGGAAAAAAATGTGAAGTGCTTAGATATATACATATTTTAAACAAAATGAAAATACCTTCCTGTTTATCTTTTGCTTGAATGGCTCACTTGTTTTCTCAGGGTTTAAACAACAAAAAGAATTTGCCAGCAGGAGGTGGAATGTTACGCTGCTTGGAAAACATCGCTACATTTATGGAAGCTTTGCCAATGGATTCCCCAAGCAATCTTTGGACTACAATCAGCAACCAGTTTCAAACTTTCTTTACCAAATTACCATGTGTTTTGCCCCTTAAGGTAGAGTTTATATTATCTAATTTCATTCTGGTATATTCTGGAAGAGGCTTGTGTCTGAAATTCTTGAGAGGCAAACACTGCATCCAGTCACTATAAACAACACCAGACATATAAATCAGCTCTCTAGTAACTTCTATTTTACCCTCTGCTACATATATATTGATTTATGTGTATGTATTTTGGTCAAATGTTTACTTTTCATATTTGGGTGGGTGGGTGGGGTGGGGATTAAATGGAGGTAAAAAATGAGGAGGGTGTGCCGTTCCTCATTGGGCACCATAATTTTTTCTTGGATTTTTTTGGGGTGTGTGTGTGCAAAGATAAAATAATGGCTGCAAAGGTGGGTCTGTTCATTTGCTCTGGTAGATGCCATTAATAAGGCAGTTCCAATGCATATGTTGGCACTAAGGGTTCTGCCCACCTTTTGGCATCAGTGACTGTGGAGCAAGCCAGGCACAATGTTGAACATACGTTCTTGTCTAAGGATCTGTACTGGCCAGTGATGCCAGGTTAATGAGCTGTCCCTAGAAGGCATATCATTATCTTGTTGGTGTTTGATCTGTATCTATGCCTTCCCAGTATCTTAGTTTACCTGCTATCAGCAAAAATCAAAGTGTAGGCACCTTTGAAAGACCTACATTGCTTTCAGAGAAGGTGACCAAGCACTATTTGCCCAGTCTGCTCCAACTCTATAGCTTTGCACCATTGGTCTCTGAAGTTTTCTGTAATTTTTCTCACATTCTTTCAAGCATTTCTTTCATACATGAGAGCTAGGAACTCTCTCTCTTCCCCCCCCCCTTTTTTTTTTAAATTAAGATATAGGGTTTTTTGGAAACCAGGAATTATATTGAATTCCCCATTCTGTGTTTATTGATTGTGCAGCTCTGCTTTTCTTTGATAAATCTGACATTCCTAAATACTGAATGAACATGTGAAGAATAGCTTGTAATTCCTCTGTGTCCTTCTTTGCCTGAAGTGTTCACTGGATTCCAGTGTAAGGATAATGATCTGTTTGCTGAAGATTCCCACCAGTAGTGCTGCCAGGGTAAGTTAAAAGGGACACAGTGGGAAGCTAAATAGCTATTCTAATACTAATGCAGCAATATTTGTTTTTATTTAAAAAGATGTGTTGAGTATCAGTATTTACTCTCTATGTCAGCTCTTTTACATTTTACAGTTCTCCTGGATAAAGGGAATAACTGAAGCATAAAATAGAATTCGTTCAGGTGTCCTGTTTGTTATTTCCATTTATATGACCACCCATCTCTCAGCAATGATTCTAGGCAGCTACCTTAATAGTAAAATTTAATATGTCCTAATTATAATTTTAAAAAAATCTGCCTGTGCCAGGTCCTTGGGAAGGATTCAATAGGTCGATAAAAATGCCAAATCTAGTATATACAGCTGGTTGACTGCACAACCAGCTATAATAATAGTATAATGTCAGTCAACAACACAACAATTCCCATAAATAAGCATCTACTTGTGGATCAAATCAATAGTAGTTATGCTATGGCTGTCACTTTTTAAAAAGATTTTTATCCTGCCTTTTCCCCCCATATTCAACCCAAGGTGTTGCACATACCTAATATTCCTTCTTCCTCCTATTTTTCCCTATAACAACAACTCTGTGAGGTGAATTCGACTGAGAGAGAATGACTAAATGAAGCCATCCAGCCAGTTTTTTATGCTTCGTTCCATAAACTGAGAAAACTCCAGGAGAACTCCCAAACTGTATTAACAGTTTATATGATATAGTGCCATCCCATTCAGAACTAAAGATCAAATCCAGGAAGGCCTAAAATCCACAGCCACCTAGTTTTGCTGAAGTTGGCCTGAAGCCTATTGTTGCCTCTCAAGAATCTCCAGACTCTGAGAAAATATCCGAACAACATCACTTGTAAGCTCAGATAGGGGTGTATAAATAAGTATCATTAGCATACTGATGAGACTTCACCCCTGCCAAAGATGAACCTGGTTTCTTCATGTAGATGTTAAACAACAGCAGGAGATATTAAAACCCTGAGGAACTTTTCAGAAAAGAGGCTTTGGATTAGGTCTTCCCTTCCCTTCCACACCCACACAACACCATCTAGAACTGGAACTGACCTAGAGGAAGGAGAAGAATCACCATAACATTGTTCCCCACTTTCAATCCCCTGAATTGTCCAGAAGAATAGCATTATCTCACCAGGCTTAAGGTTGACTCAGCCTTCCATCCTTCCGAGGTGGGTAAAATGAGGACCCAGATTGTCGGGGGCAACATGTTGACTCTGCAAACTGCTTAGAGAGGGTAGTAAAACACTGGGAAGTGGTATATAAGTCTAAGTGCTATTGCTGTTATGAATGATATTGGAAACCACCAAGGTTTCATTTATTATTATGTGATTGTACATTTGCATCTTCTTGTATTTACAATGTTTGTTTGCTTGTTCAATTTATATTGCTGCCTATCTCAGATTGATGACTCTGGGCAACTAACAATGTTAACAATTATAAAAAACAGAATAAACATGTCTCGAAATGCACATAAAGCAGCAGCCCATAAAAACAGCAGCCAAGATCCATCCATAATAGTTAAGATAGCCAATGCACAGGCTCAACTCCACCCCCTGAAGCCCATGCCCAGTGATGCTTAAATCTCACACCAGATGTATTAGCAGAACAAGGCTCAGTAATCAGCAAATGTAGCCAAACCAATCTTGAGGGGCTCTTTCTGGAGAATTTTAGCACTAATTTATTTACTTATGAAATGTAGACATTACTTCTGTCCATGTGGACTACTGGTGGTTCCCAATAGATGTCTACTACTTGTTGGTGTATGATTGCTATTGAACTTCCTTTGCTGTGAAGCATTGTGATTGAAATTCTGAGAAGGATCCAGAAGATTCTGATGCCTTTCAGTCTCCAAAAGAGTGGCATAAATTGATCCCTTGGTGCTGTTGCTTGCTCTTCCTTTTTTTGAAAAAGTTTTTTATTTTTTAATTATTTAAACACATCTTTGCAAGAACAGTGTGGTTCCAGGTGTTTTACATTTTAAATCAGTCATATCCATAGTCACTGATAGAGCTTTCTAACTCCACATCATTATCTATTAACAAATTTTCTCATAAATTATTTTATATCAGTCAATCAATCTCTATCTTTCTTGATTGTATACTTATATTCAGCAGGTTTACAGTTTAATCTATTCATATCATTTCATTAATCATTCAGAGTTTCATCTTAATTTGTATTATCCCCTATTAATCCCCTTTCCAATATTATTACATATATTTTATTTTCTGTGTATCTCCTCTCTGCCTTCTCATTTTCACACAAGTATATTTTCCATCTTACTTTCTTTAGCCAATAATGTAACAATATATCCTCATTACCTTGTATAAATGGATAACAAAATATTTAATTCATTAAAAACATCTAATCAATCTCTAACTTCCTTAATCATGTATTTCTTATGCTCTTCACGTTTACAATTTAATCTATTCAAACCATTCATTGACCATTCAAAATTTCATCTTAATTAATTTATATTATCCCCAATTTATGTCCCCCCCACCAATATTACATTTGCCATTATTGCATATATTTTATTTTCTATGTATTCCCTTCCCTTTAACATCTCATTTTTACACATATATATTTTCTTGTAGCCAATAGTATCAACATTATAACATAATAACCTTGCTACTTTATATATGTAAATAACAAATATATAATTCATTATCCTACTGTATAATTATGTCTATTCTCTGTCGGGTTCCACATAGTATTCTTTTTCATATCTTAAATATTAATCACTTTTATCTTCCATAAACATTTATCTGTATTGCTTGGCTAATCTATTATAAATTCTTATTTTCATGCCTATTAAATTTAAATTATTCTTATTCTAGTTCTTAGTACAAACTCCTCAAAATCTATTTTATATATTTTACCATTAAAATATCCCTTCTTTTCCATTTCTAACCATTATCTCTCTCTTTTATATTAATTCATCGCTTCTTTGCTTGCTTACCATTTTCTGTCATCTTTTGGTTTTTTCCCCCTTAATCCTTCCTCTATTCTTAATCAATTTCTAATATTTTTTCTCCCATTTCTCGAAGTTTATCCCCACCCACTTCTGATCTCCTTTCTGTAATTTCCTAGCCATTTCATTTATTCATTTATTATCCAATCTCAGTATTGCCCCCCCTTATTTATTACATCTATCACAAACATCTCAAATTGAATTTCTTTTTTCTTCTTTTGCACTATTTGTTGTTCTTTTTGTTCCATTTCACTGGTTTCTCTTTCTTCTCACTCCTCCCCCTTCTTTGTTCTTTCTCCTCCTCCTCCTCCTCCTCCTCCTCCTCCTCCTCCTCCTCCTCCT